CTACAAACATCATAGAAAAGGTACAAGTATTTATAAACAATTGTCTACGCAAGATACTCAATGACTGTTTGCCGGATATCATCAGCAACGGCCTACTGTACGATAAAACAAACCAACTTCCAGCGAAGAGGAAACTAGGGAAAGATGCTGAAGATGAATAAGACACGTATTTCGGGACTCACCGAACTGCATCAAGAGGCAAGCCTTAACTTGGAATTCTCAAGGCAAAAAAAGGGGGAAAGTAAAGAACATATTGCATCCGGAATCGGAGATAGACAAAAAGAATGAGTAGCATTTTGCAACGACTAGAAAAGAAAGTACAGGATAAAATTGGTTGGAGAAACCTGATCTCTGGTCTATGCTAACAGGACTAACTAACTAATAAAGAATTTAGTCCGGGAATTTTTTTTAGATATGTCACATCGATGAATATTTAAGATAAGTTATGTTCCAAAGCAAAGGGAACTATGTGTAGGAAATAAGGTAATACATTTATATACGGACTTACAAGGTACAGATTTGTATACTTAGTTATTGCAAGTCACACACTAAATCTCAAGTCTAGTGACATTACTCAAATTGAGTGTAATAGTATTTGAGCAAGTAGCTTTGCGAGTAAAAGTCAAATGCATTTATCCCTGAGTCATTACTCCACTTAGGTACATCCTGTTTTCACTTTGATCCGACAATTGAAATGAGTTATTTTTTAATGTAATACATTATAATGAGGAATATAGCATTCCTGACAAATATTTATCGAATATAATGATGACATGAAGTAAGAAATCACTATTTAATTACAGATTAATGAAACTCAAACAGTAGAAATAAAAGAAATAGAAACTGGAAATCTATAGTTCCATATATATCACTTATTCTTTAGTGAAGCGAAGGTTGAAAAAGCATGTGTTCCAAATATAAAACCGCTCAAAGTATGAGTAATATTATTGCATACTTAGATGTGAAAGAAATCTACATGAAGTAATCATATATATATATATATATATATATATATATATATATATATATTTAGCAAAAGACAACTAATTACACTCTATATGATAGAAAACTGTAAATAATGAATAACTAATGGTATCATTATAAATCGAGTACACTACATAATAAAACTATTTATACATCGTTTGTGAGGAGGCAATAATTATAATAATGGTGATACTATTAACTAATAAGTTCAGTACCTTTAATTTTCCCCTCAACTTCAGTAATTCGTTCACGTACAAGATTGTTTTCTTCGCCAACAATTTTCACGAATTTTAATAACCAATTTTCTAAAACAGTGATATGATTTAACAATGTGGCTTGATTTAATTTGTCAAAATTCTGAGCACTATAACGGCTGTTACGAATAAGGGAAGAAAAGAAGAAAACAAATAAGCGAATAAAATGGGGTACATTAAAAGAATACTATTTTGTTGTGTGGAACGATATAGAAAAATATCCAATCCATCAGCTGGCAAGTCATGAACAAAGTGATCTCGAGTGGTATTAAGGGTATGTGAACCACTATCACTTCCAGGCTGTATATATTGTACAAAGATAAGTATTCATGAGGTGAATATGAAAGGCGAACTCGATAAGAAGTGATCTTGGAGAACTGAGAATGTGATCGCACTACATAAGAAACAATTGATTAAGGACATTTGTACGCCCGCCTTTTCTTGATGTGCTGTTTATGAACATGTGAGGCCTTACCACCAGCGATAGAAATCCGTATAGTAAGGTGAGGTGTATGCTATGTCCGATTTCGATTGCGATACGCAATCTTCCTGTATACGAGCCTAATCGGTTACTCGAATGAAAAGACTGAATGAGAGGAACGTTTATGAAGTAAACTGAATCGGTGGGTGTGTATTCTCATGTGTATATATATCCTCTAGAAGATCTAGCCACCAAAGGTGTAGAACATATTTTTTTAGAAATTCAAGTTATTTCTTGATCAATAACATACACTTTTCATTTAAGCAATTTCTAACTGACCTACTATATCGGTATACTATTCTTAGGGTCAACATCTTTCAATTTCTTCATTTTGTTGTATCAACGATAATAACACTGAACTGTTAATTATTAAATAAAAACTTAATAGTAGTTACATTGTATCATCTGACATAACTCTATAAATTAATAAGTCATTTAACTAACCATCAAACAATTGACATTGAGATTACAACAATAGTTAAAGCTGTAGAATTGTAAATTCATGAACTACACTGGACATTTCATGATCAATTTCAGATAATCATAGCAACATGACATGAAATAAAAATAAATATTTACTTCATTTTCCTAAATATATTTAACGATTTAATATTAAAATGTTAGATCTGAAACAAGGTTGTGTTTTTTTTTTCAAATTATGTCATACGAAGATCATGATAACTGGTATAACGAGCTATATATTGTCAAGGTTAAAACTGGTTTTTGAATTATTACTGAGTAACTTGATTACAATGTACATGTATCCTGTTTATCGTAAGCTTCCGTTTAACATATTAAGTATTATTAAACTAATTATTATCTTGTATGTTGTTCCCAATCGATTGTTTGAAACAATTTTTGGCTCATTTATGTATAGTAATGATTTTTATTTTATTCAGCGATAAGGTTGAGCATGTACGTATATAAGCCCACATATGTTTGAAATTTAATAACAGTAGAAGTTGATTGCTGACGTTTTGGACTGAGGGCAAAGAATACAAAAGAGCTTACGAATAGCAGACTAATAGAATCTTAGCTACGTTGGTTAAAAATTAACAGTTCTGGTTAGGCATATAATTGGGGCATTAGACTATAGAAGAAATAACAGATGTGAATTAGACAAAGTTACAATTAGAATTTTAAAAGTTAAATTTGGCATGTGATGTTGATTGACTGAAGATACAAAAATAAATTTTACTTGCAGAAAGAAAATTTATTAATTCTAATTATTTTTTGTTGCTGGGATGAATGAACGGATGGATGATTAAAAAAAACCCTATCATAATCTGGTTTTAGTATGTCTGATATTTGGCTATCAGTAAAATTCAAGACGAATGTTTTATCTTGTTTGCAACTCAACAGCTAGATGAACTTGCACCCAAAGTTGTTTGTTTGTTTTTTCAGAATGAGACCCGATCCACACAGGATCACTATATGAAAACCTGCCTAACTACAGTCCTGAATATCGACAATGAAGTATTACAAATACTTAGCAACACGACACCCAGACGCTAAATTTTATGCTACGTGAAAATAAACAGCAAAACGTTTGCCTAAAACAATGAGGAAATTCAAAATTGGTTTGGAAATAAAAACTCGATGTGGAAATTACAAACTTGAAAATGAATGATAGAAGAATTTAAGTTGATTTTCATTGACTAAACTACATTTTATTTAGCTCTTAAAATTGCACTGCCAGCGTCTTTGGTCTATATTATTAACCCAACACGAATGCGAGATAATATTTAGTTCCGCTTGTAAACTACTGGAAATAGAATTTTCTTGCTTGGCATCGATAACCATATCTAACTTTTAGCACAACCAATCAATAATAGTAACAGTAATGAATCTGAGTTATATACGGAATAAGTGTCCTTATTTATTCAGTAAAACGATTGTTAATCGTAACTGAGTAATTATAAGAGTTATACCAAAATGTAATTCTTGACAATATACATAGGATGATCGATCACATCTTCGAAATTATATACTTTCTAGAGCCGTAAACTTGGACGAAAATATCGTCTTAATTCATGAAACAAACAGATAAAGATCAGAGATTGTATTGTGTGGAAAATTTAGCCATACGGATCAAGTACAGAACTACAGCAAAGACAAGTCAATGGCAAATTGAAAAGCAAATTCGTGCGCAAAAACAACCTAGGGCAGCTCAAAAACTCCCCACTCCAGTAATCTGAAGTCATAAACACAAAGTTAAAGAAACGTATCTTAACATTCATCAAATAAATACAGATTAGCAGTTAAGTGGCATAACATTCCGTCACTTATATCACAATACTGTTAAGTTCCCTACTTGATAACGCAGAATACAGTATACAACTACGGCACTCGAACGTATAGAATCCCCAGAGTCGCAAATCAAAAGACAGAAGAAGACTGGAGAAGCACTTCTTTGGCAAAAATCAAAATGTACAGAAAATTATGGGTGTTTACAGATATTAGTGCTTATTATATAAACATTATAATTCAGCCAATCCGCAAAGAAACATGTTATGCTACTGTTCGATAGTAGCATGTCACGTTGATATTCTAGAAAGATCCATCATGTTCTGATTGGTCAAGAAAATGCAATTCTGATAGATACTGATTACTCTAGTGATCCATTATCTACTAATTAGATCCTCAATAAATTTGAGGAAACCTTTCCAGAAGAATCAAACCCTGATGACTTCAAATCAAATGGCGTTCATCCTCATCATCTAGCTAATTTTAATGGATTCTCTGTTCGATGAGACAAATTCGTTCGAAGTAGTCACGTCAATTGTGACTTGGGAATATGAGAATCCAACATTATTTCGTGGAGGAGGATAAAGTCGGAAAATTCAAAATCCGGATATCAACTCCGAATCATCAAAAAAAGGGGAGATGTTATATCCCGATGAGAATAATCAATGGTAACTGGAATCTATTTCTGGACTAACACTATACATATATTTTCATTGTATAAGTGTTGTGGATGCGCAGGAATAGACCAATAATTATCATGTTAAGTCCAATGGTGTCCTTGGACTTTAAATGGAGTTTTCTATTGGTCGATATCTGTTCACTTGTGAATATTGTACAGAATGTTGTTTTCTATTTTTATGGTACGATGTGGTTTGTTTGCTTGGTATATAAATAGAGTATGTTTGAAATACAATGATTCATATCTCAGAGGTTGTGACTTGTCTTCTGGACTCAACTGGCTGGGCTGGACAGGGAAGCAGGACCAATCGAGACACTAGGTCGTCCGGTAGAAATCAACATCAATTCACAGTCATAACAATTGGCGACGGGGTAGAGGAAATTTTGAACCCTCTAATTGGACGAGATTCAGCATAATTATTTTGACCAATCAGTATCCAGATTGTCATCAGCGTCCTTAAGCAACATTGGTCATTATTACTACAGTTAATTGTCATTGCAGGTGCTGAAAAAAAATGACTACCTTTTCCGATCAATTACAGCTTCTACTTGAGCAACAACAGCAGTGCTTCAAAAATAGCCAGTTGAATTTTCTGGAAAATTTACGCACACTGTTGGTAAATTTTCCATGTTTCGGAAATGCAACAGGAGTTGGTAATTTCATTTCTCATCTGCAGACTGAGCTGGAAAACAACTGCAGAACATATGAAGCTGCCTATAAAAGCCTCTGTGAATCCCGGACGACCAGTGATGTAAACGAGACAATCATTCATGATCCGCCCAGTTGTTCAGAAATGTCAAATTCAGAAACATTCCCTGTTGTGGGTTCAAATCCCACTGTGCCTGAAAGATGTGAGGTATCCAGCTTACAAGAAGAACCTCTCGTGTCAGAAAATGTTTCCCGTGCATCAAATAATGGTCAGAAATCTAATACGAATTTCAAAGATGCTGTTTGTTTTAGTGACCTATTATCCAGTGATAGAATTTTAAAGAGGTCTGAAGAATATGTTGCACAAGAATCAAACCTTAATGACCTCATGTCTGGTGTCGCTAATCCTCATCATCTAGTCAGTCTTAGTGAACCCTCTACTCAATGCGCGAAATATGCTTTAATTCGAATCAGACCAACTGTTACTTGGGTATATGAGGACCCAACGTTATTTCGTGGGGGAGGATGAACCCAGAAAATTTCAAAATCCGGATATCAACTCCGGATCTTCAAAAAAAGGGGAGGTGTTGTGGATGCGGAGGAATAGACCAATAATTATCATGTTAAGTCCAATGGTGTCCTTGGACTTTAAATGGAGTTTTCTATTGGTCGATATCTGTTCACTTGTGAATATTGTACAGAATGTTGTTTTCTATTTTTATGGTACGATGTGGTTTGTTTGCTTGGTATATAAATAGAGTATGTTTGAAATACAATGATTCATATCTCAGAGGTTGTGACTTGTCTTCTGGACTCAACTGGCTGGGCTGGACAGGGAAGCAGGACCAATCGAGACACTAGGTCGTCCGGTAGAAATCAACATCAATTCACAGTCATAACAATAAGTGATAAGTAACTATTCATACTCGTGTTCCTCTTATTATGAGCTTTATTTTGACCTATAAAAAATTATTATACGATTTACCATTCTCGAGTTATGTCCAGTCTATCAATTATTATATCCCACATCCATAGCCACTTTTGGCTAAATCTTGTACAAATGTTATTTTCTATCTTACGTACGATGTGGTCTGTTTGATTTGTATATGAACCCAGTATGTTTGAAATAAATTATTCATATCGCAGAGGTTGATATCGGAGTTTTAGACATAACAGACAGGGCTAGGCAGGAAGCAGGACCGATAAGGACTCTAGACTGCTCGTACGGGCTCTATGTGTCATTGGTTCAGTCGATAAATCACTGTTCTCTAATTGGTGGTACCATTACGTCACATATTGATAGGGGCTCAAGGCCATAATTTACAACAAATACAAGTGGAAATCTACGAACATAAATTTTGACGCAGTAAAAAAATCACAATTCTAGATTAAATAAAATCTAAAAGTATTAAGAATATTAAGGTCTGAAGATTGTAATCAATAAACAGAACTGACTGATCAATAAATGAGAAAAAGGTCAACTGATAATATGTAAAACTAACAAAACAGTCGATTGAAGCGTAAAACTACACAGTGAACTGATTGATTACACACAGTTAAGGAACAAAACTTTTAAAGATCACTTTCATCCGAAATATTGAAGATTTCTTACTGAATGAAAATAAAGGCATAACAAGCAAATAAACCATGCAGTACAAAGGACGAAATACTAGCAAGACTATTCACCTGAAATATGAACATAACTTTCCTCATTGCAAATCAGACTTGGTTTCAAATCCAATCATTAATCCTAAAGAACCACCGAATCATTTTGAAAAATAGAAATTTAATAAAACTTTTAAAATTAAGTACCAAGATGTAAACTAATGTGAGTAACACATCATAAACACACAATATAGGGCAGATGTGTTTCAGCTAATGACTTCTACAGCTGATTGATTAAAAAGAATTGATCGATGTAATGTTTGTTTAGTCCTTTAGTGCTGATCGAATTCTAACAAACAAGTTGAAATGTGATCGAAAATCTCAGTGACGTGACATTCGTTAAACTGTATTTTGATGTTAGGGGATTAGATGTAGTCGATAGGAATCCATAGATCCAAGTTTTATTCAAGTAGAAATTCTTCAGCAAGAATTATCCGCAACCCTTAGAAAAATTAATGCTTCCCGTGAGATTCGAACCGATATCGGCCAGCTACAACGTATAAAATATTACCACTAAGCGATTAAAACTACGACTGATCTGCTGTAAGACTGAAATACTTGCAGCTTACTGATCACTGAATGGTGACAAGCGTCATATCAGTCAAGATATTTAGTGCTGATCAAATTTCGTCAATGAAGACTGAAAATATGCCTTCCTGAAGAGTGTCAACTAGCACATAATCTAGGTTCATGATTTTCTTGAAGATGTATGAGACATTTGTTCACCATTAGATACTGAGTCCCATAATCCTCCTTTAAGACTTTTATCTGATTTACACACCTTTTTTACTAGTAGTGACACCTTCATTAGTTTGAGAATTATCATAATTTCTTTTCGCTATACTTATGTAATGTAGAAACTTAAACCGTTCACTACACATATATGCCAGATTCTAGATTGTAAATTACTGACTGATAAACTTCTAACTACCCAACACTGTGATTTTTCTATCCAAACTAAAAACGTTTATACCAGAATAATTTTTAGAAGCGAATATCTTAAAAGATACAAAAACATTGTTCATTGATCAGAGATTTTTCACGAATTGGCATTTTGTTCCAGGTTATACAAAACGCTAACAATGAGGAAATATTTGTTAACGACTTTAGTCGATAGACGGTAGTAGTGTATACACACATGCATATTGTCAAAAAACGAATCCTATTCGATGATAACGTTGTATTTTTAAAAGGTTCTCATGTACCATATTTCTATCAGTATATCATTAATAAACGACAACTCTTTTTTGTACAATCATTTATGAATAGATCTTTTTATCTCTACTTGTAATACATCCGCTCAGATGATGCTCATAAAAATAAGGAATTAGATTTTATCAATAACATACCGACAGAAATAGGTTACCCGTAAATATTTTTTTTATTTTAAAAATGTAGTACATGTAACCAAGGGAAAAGTTGGAGACAGAATATTCCTTAAAAAACCTTTTTTTTTTCTAATAACTACAATTTTCAAATAATGTCGCATAGATCAAACAATTGGAAAGTGAATAATTCTAATATTGATAAGATAAACTATACTTTCATATACACCATAATCATTTATTTGTTTGTTGAAATAACCAACTATATATTCATATAAACAAGTACGCCTACTAAAAGTGATACAAGAAAATTAAAGTTTTCAGTTCATTACCAATTCGTTATTCGCATGTTTTAGTCAACAACAACAAACTTGACAATTCCATTGCTAAAATTTCATTCTTTTTTTGACAAATCTAATGATCTAATACTGAGGACAATAGACAAAAATATCGGTTGAAATAATCCGGTTATTTTTAAGGTTAAAAAGATTAATCAATTAATTATGCGGTTTTATGTAAATGACATGAACAATGAGAATTGATCATATCGTAGATACTTGAATATTTGTGATCTTTAGAGTGAAATAATAATTCAGTGCTTCCAGGTTTCCCATAGTGGCCTAGCTTAAATTGACTCATGAATTCAACTATTAAATTACCACAATCTCAACAAACTCCCATTGTGATGATAATAATAATAATAATAATAAATAGTAAATTTGACCTTGGAAATGTGCATAACTACAAAAGTGATCAAAAATTCTACACTTTTTCTGACTGAATCTATCTAGTAACTGGCTATGTGAATTTTGTAAAAAGAGAAAACGTGACATAAAAGCTTATCCGAATGATTTTATCATACAGTTGAACAATCTGATTATCAGCTACTATAGTGATTGTTCGTAAGCTAAATGAAACTGTTGATCACTTGTCTGCAGATTTTTTCAATGGTCTTAATGATTTCCTGAAAACCATATCTAGCCACTACATCTAGAATACAAAGACTTATTTGTGGGATTTGATGGAATAATAGGTAATGTCAAAATTTAGTTTAAAGACGTATATTTCAAACAGATTAATTCCCACAATATCACCGATTTAATCACTACCCACATGGATTTTGATTGATACGTACACTTATCTATCTCTTCATACTAAGGCAACATCAGATCTTAGTCAAATTTATGGGGGAAAAATGAAGAACTCATAGATGTATGCAATAGATATGTTCAATTGTCAAAATGGAGTCGAAAAACTAAAATGCATACACGCAGGTTACCGCCGTCTGAGAAAATAATCACGTATTCAAGTTAATGTTGCCCAACTGTTTCATGGTAGTTATTTTTAGTAATGTGCTTCAAATATACACTAGAATGGAGTTACATAGAGTTGACAAGTCCCAAATAGGATGAAATACGTATTCTAGTTCCTACTACTAGTCCCAATCCATTTATTCTGATAAGGAATCGCAAGACAGTTTATATAGTGAACAGTCTATGAACAAAAATTTCAGCTTAAAAATGCGAAATTTTTCTTACAAAATGATGATATAAGTATGACATTTAAAAGCATTAGTACAGAAAAACATATATTACTTCCAAAAGGAGACAATCATTCAGTATAAAAGGTGGATAGATAAATTCGAATTATTTCCATTCGAAGTATGAAAACACATATATGGTAGATAATAAATTACTTCAGTTTAGTTCTCTTTTATTATTTCACCAAATAGACAAAATCAGTCAATAAATAAAGAGTTTGATATAATGTAAACTATAATACTACTCACCTATAAAATCCATCTGAATTTGATAGATGATTAGAATAATTGTCTGAAGTATATCGACTGGTGTTTTTAACATATCCTTCAGTTTGTGAGATAATTTTGAGGGCACTATTAATTTGATTAGTTACTGGTATATTATTTAATGAATTAGTACTGCCAGTATATTGTTTTCGATAATTATGATCATTATTATTATTATTATTATTTTTATTATTGTTATAATTATCATTATCGGATATTATTCTGTCAGGTATTTTTGATACCATACCATTTATACCAGTAATATCATCTTTTAATTCATCATTATTTTGTGTATCTTCACCGTATATATCAGCCACCGCTGCACCAATATGAACTGGTATACGAAAATTAATGATTAAATTAACAAAGTGTATAATTTGAGAATAGACAGTACTTTCTTCACGTGTTTCCAATATTTGTTGTATTTCTTTTGGACGCATATGACCAATTCGCATTTCTTCTGCAGCGATTTCTAATGCTGACATATTTGATGTGTAACTTTGTTGTTGAATTGTAATCTTATTGATATGTAGGAAAAAGAATATATATATATATATCTTATAACAGACATTTGAGATAATTAAAGGTAGACTTTAAAAACAGAATTAGCTTTTAAATGGAGTTATCCTCCTGTCTACACTAGAAAAGAGAACTAAACATAGAATCACAGATAACTTATTGATAATTGTTTTTTGAAACTATCGGTCATCGATTGAAGATACAGTAGTTTCGAAATCAGTATCTACTTATTATTGATCTAGGCAAATTTA